ACTAGGATTTGAAAGGATATACTTTCCGACTGGTCCCATAAAAAAGTCATCAAACCTGATTTAGTTGTTTGATATTTAAAATCAAAATAAGTGGTTTTGACACAATTTAAGTCGATGATTCTTTTTCGTAAAGCAAAATCTATTTAAACTGCTACAAAAACTTTGATACGCTTATTTATCAGATTGTTTTTTCCAAAATTATGTACTTTCAATTCGAATTTTGTATAAACCTAGTAATAGAACTACATTGTGGCCGACACAATACGTTTAAATAAACAATAATAAAACCTAGAGTTATTGTAAATAGGCGTAAGCTCGGAACACCTGTGTTACGCATCCAGTGTCGATAAAAAAAAAAAAGAAAAAAAACATCAAGCTCGCGTATCAACGTGCAGTGGGCAAGAATTGTATGGATACGACACAAGACCTAGTAAAATGCATTTGAGACGAAATAATAGGTCACTTTTGCGAAGTTAAATTTAAGTATCGATGGGGGAAAGGGAATGTTAGTAATGAGGTTTAGCGGTTCCATTGTTAACAATATATCTCATCAGGTCGACAACCACGCGGTTCCCTTTGGAAGCCATCGTGGTTAATTCTTACTAAACTCGTCACGATGGACTAGTTGCCCTGTTTTCATCCTCACCCATCATCTCTCATTGGTATCCCTTTAGCGTTTGCTGATAGCCCAGACGGAGTTACCATTCCATTTTTATCTACCAAAAAACTTTTTTATCAATTGATATTTTTTTTCAAGCAACTTAAAAAATAAGAAAATTATTTTTTTACGTGGTACCTTTGCCAAATCAGAACGTATTTTATTACTTTTGCATACTCGTACAACAGAGAACATCCTTGTGATGCATCTATTGAAATTTTGTTATTATATTTTTTTTTTTTTTATAATTTTTATATTGTTACAAAGCATTTTTGAAATAGGATAGTAAACAATTATGTCTTAAAATGAACAAAAGTTTTCATTGAAAATATTTGTTGTATAAGTAAAATTTAAGCGACAGCTGTAAAATGTGACCTTTTGTTGGCTAATTATGTCTAGATTCAACAATTTTTTTTTAAGAATGTAGTTGTTCCAGCCCTTTTTTTTATTATTCGATTCCTATTATTTATTGTCCTCTGATATTTAGCGCAAACTCTATATATATAAAAATTAGATCAAATAATATAAAAATATAATAATAACAAAATACATTTCACAAATTTTTATTATTTAATTTAGTTTATAATCAAGTTCATACGCAAATATTTATCAGTTACTTTTTCTTATGTGGCAAATAATAAAATTTCCACTTTCCATCAGGTGGGCCGTTAGCTTGTTTGCCATTCTAAGTTGCATGAAAAAAAATGAATATTTATACAGCGATTAATTAAAATTTTTCTGATTGTATGGCACCCATTTAATATTATTGTTATATTAAAAAAGAGAAATAAAATAATAGATTCCTGATGTAATATCCATACTTTACTACACGTTGCATTTAGAAAGAGACAACATCAGAGTGCATCCCACTCGGCTGGCGGCCGGTCGGTGCACGTGTGTCATGGAACGGGTTTCGCTCCTCGGACGGTCCAAGATTTTATTAATTTGTGTTTCTTATACATTTTGTATTTCCAACTCTTCATGGCTGCTACTAGCCTGGTACTCGTTCCATCGATTCGCTTGATAACAAATTGCTTTTTCTTTGTTCTGTCAGGCCCCTTATTTTTTTCCTCTCTGAACATTTTGTCTTTGCAAATTTGACATTTTATTGCGCTATTGGGAAATTATAGATTCAATAATACAGTCCCGTTAAGAATCTCTGCTTTTCTTGAAGTGTATATCAAATTGTTTTTAGCAAAATTTTGTCTCGATATTAAATAGAATTCTAAATTCGACTTGCCATAATTAAGATGGTGTCCCACAAAAAAATATACAATCAAATGCCCTTTTTTTGAAGTCGGTTAATAAACAAAGGATTATTGATACTTGTATTGAAAAGGATATGTATATGTATGTGTAAGTATATGCATAGGTGTAAGTACATATTTATGTATATGTACATGTGTATTTATACGATTAAATATAGTGTAATTATTTATAAATTTAAGTTTGTCTTGTTCCTTTGTTTGAAAATACGAGTATGCACAATATTGTTCACCGCTCCACCCGCCGACATTAACGCTCCTTTTCACTTTGGGTGTTGCTGGAAGAGAACTCTTTTAGAGTTTTTTTTTTTTTTTTTTTAATGGGTGATAATGGAATGGTAACCCCACCTGCGCTATCGGGATACGCTGGCGGGGGACCAGTGAAGAATGATAGGTGAGTATGAAGCAGGTCAGTTGGCCCATCGTGACGAATTCAACAAGAATTGTTCACGATGATTTCCAGGGGGAACCACGTGGATATCGACCTAATAGGGCATATTGTTTGTAATGGGGCTGTCAAACTCCATTGCTAACAATCCCTTTCCCCCCACTCTTTTAAAGTTAAGCTCGCCTTTGTACATTTGATTACCTCTGTCATATTTTTATGTACAATTGGTGTGTACAATAAAGTATTAAAATGAAAAAATTAATATTATTAAATCAGTCAGATAAATGGGTTGACTGATTTCTGGGAAGATGTTATAATCTACATAATTTTTAGAAATAAAAAATGGATATATATATATATACATATATTATGAGCTATATATTGCTAGCAATAAGCTTGGCAATCCCTATTACAGTTATTTTGATACACACATATGAAAGAAAGAAAGAAATATTTATTCAGTGCTTAATTTCACACTTAATAACGATAATTTTTTTTTGTACTTTTTTATTTTTAATCTTCAGAATTTTTTTTTACTTAAGACATATATATTCGTGTAGTTCTTGAATAATTAAAGATTTCGTTTCACAAAAGAAATACCGACTTTAAATTTGTCAAAACCATTCATTTTGAACTAAAAACTAAAACTATTGAATCGATTTTGATTAAATTTTTACAGAACTAAACTGTAAGTATACCCTTTCAAACAAAAAAAAATCCGAATCGGTTTACAATTGACAGAGTTGTGAGGTAACAAGCATAAATAAAAAATACAAACGAACTGAGAATCTAATTTATTCTGAACTCGTTTTAAAATGATACAAAGAAATCTCTTCAGTTCGTTGTACTCCTAGTATTACAGATAATATAGATAGGTATGTAGACAATATAGATACTGTAACCGCTTACCATCAGGTAGGCTGTATGCTTATTTGCTACCTCAGTCATATAATATGAGCGACAGTTAACAAATCGTAACGAATTCCATAATAATTAACCAAGATGGTTTCTAGGAGAACCGCGTGGAGGTCGACCTGATATACCCTATCAGGTCGACTTCCATTGTTAGCAATGCGGCTATTTCAATAAAAAAATTGTACTCAACAGAAATATAATAATGCTTTTTATATTAAGTTAAAATAATTTCTTAAAAAATCGAAAAAGGAATGTTGCGTTGGTTTGGTCATTTGGAGAGGATGGATGAAAGAAGAATTACGAAAGAGATTTATCGAGCAAGAATGAATGGAGATGTCGGTAGGGGCCGCCCTAGACGGACGTATGTCGACCAAATAGGCGACGTGCTGAAGAAGGGCCAAATTAAAAGTACCCGTAACCGACGAGCGTGTATGACAAGATTGATGAATGTGGAAGAAGCGAAAGAGGTTTGTTTGAATCGAAGCATTTGGCGTTCCATTGTTTCTGCCTACCCTAATGGGAGACAGGCGTGACAGATATGTATGTATGTATGTAATTTCTTAAATTTGGAATGAATTTGTTTGTTACCCTATAGCGTCTTAATGCTTAACCAATCGCTATGAAATTTAGTATACACGTGCAATATGGGACGGAGAAGTATATAGGGTAACATTTATCTCAGTCAGTAAACATATTGCGGTCACACGGACGAAGTCACGGGTAAAAGCTAGTATATTTATAATTTATAAATTTCGTAATTCAAAATATTGTAACACGCAAAAGAAGTATAGACTTGTATTAGTATTAATACAGTTGGATAATATTTGAAAATGGATTCAGAATTTGCGAAAATATTTTTTTTTATACAACTTAGAATGGCAAATAAGCTGACGGCCCACCTGATGGAAAGTGGTAACCGTCGCCTACAGACATGAGCATAACAATGTATACTGTTCCGCTCATGATACACCCCCATGCGTTGCCATTCCTGAGGACTCAGATGTTATTCCTTTGTACCCTGTAAATTCACTGTCATATCCGACCCTTCAAAGCGAAACACAGCCATACAAACACAACTGCTTCACTATAGAAACACGAATGGAACAGAGATGACCAAGCAAACGACTTTTGTATAAAGTCTCCCTCTGGTAAAATATTGCAAATTGAGAGTCTACTTTTTGGGGTCGGTTAAAAGAAATGTCAAAGTTGAACAGAATAAGACGAAATTACAACTTTTGAACGAGGCAATTAAAGATGTCGTACAGCAGATAAAGTTAAACCTTGTGTAATAAATCATGGTTTATTAACCATTTCGCCTACGTCCAACAAGTTGTATATGGGCAGTGGGTGGAAAAGATCACATGGTTTTAGCAAGTTTCATTTTTTATATACAAATAGTTTTAACCAGAGAGAGACTTTGTACAAAAGTCGATTGCTTGGGTACTTCTGTCCCATTCGTGTTTCAACCGTGAAGCAGTTGTGTTTGCATGGCTGTGTTTCGGTTTGAAGGGTGGGATATGGCGTGAATTTACTGGGTACAGAGGAATAACACCTGTGTCCTCAGGAATGGCAATGCATGGGGGGTATCATGGGCGAAACAGTATACTCTGTTATGTCCATGGTACTGCTCATGTCTATAGGCGACGGTTACCACTTTCCATCAGGTGGGCCGTTAGCTTGTTCGCCATTCTAAGCTGTATAAAAAGAAATACACTATTTTGCATGGTATTCTGAAATAGTTTGATAATCATCATTTTTCATTTCTTTTTCCCAGACCGTCCATACTCCGAGTCGGATATCGAGCGGCCCACCACCTCACTACCACAAACAAGACGCTCAGCGTCGTCCCCTCCACTCACGCTGACCTTCGACACGGACTTCGACGATGACGTATTCGTTTGTCCCAGAACTGACAACGGCAACGATCCCTTCTCGACCACAAACCTGGAGATCTTCAGCTACGGAAGTCCCAGAACTCCAGCGGGAGTTTTACTCAGTCCAAGACGTGATAGAAAATTTACATTCTCCGTGTCGAGCGAAAAACACTGGAGAGACAAGGGGGGAACGGATGTGGCTGATGGCATCACAAACGATACGGATGAGGTAAGCATTTTTTTTTAATGACTAAATAAACCTCTTAATTTTTTTTAATGAATGCTAACAGGGGCGGGGCACCAGTGAGGGATGATAGGTGAGAATGAAAAGGCAGGTCGGTTAGCCCATCGTGATGAATACACCTGGAATTCAGCACGATGGTTTCCAGGGGGGACCACGTGGAGGTCGACCTGACGGGGTATATTGCTAGCAATCGAACTAGTAGTCCACATTACTAACAATCCCTTTCCCCCAACTTCTTACGTACATCCCTTTATGAATATAGATATATCATTTCAACAGTTTAAGATATTTAAACCGAAAAAAAAAAAATAATTAAGTTTATCTGCTTGGTGACGCCAGTTTAAAATTAAGGACACAATTTACATTAATATTTGTGCCTTCTCGCTTTTCGTTATATATAAGGGATAGGTACTTTGCATGCTCGCAATTTTAGTACTAATCTGTGGGCTGATTGTGTCCGATCTTTGTCGGTGCTGCCCTCTCGCGCCGATCGCCCTTCTGTTTCGAACATCGTATGAGTAACCGCGACTGGCCGCTCTCCTACAAATTAATTTACAAAAAAACATATTTCTGCCGTGTTTCGTGTCATATTTCTGACCATCAGAACACCGGATCACTGTAGAGAGCTGCTGGAATTGTTCGCAGGTGAGTACCTATCCTATTTTTCAAATTACGAAAGGCGAGGTGAAGACCAGCCAGCGACCCGGCTCAAATATCGAAAGGAATAATTGTGATTATTATTAAGTTGGCACTGCCAATATAGACATAAACATACAAAACAAAAGCAAATATGAAAATAAGAACCAAATCAAATCAAATTCAATATCTACAAATGCAACAAAACTGTAATATAGAAAAATAGGGGAAAGGGACTGTTAGTAATGGAGACTGAGAACCCCACTGCTAGCAATACACCCAACCGGGTCGACCTCCTCGCTGTTCTCCCTGGAAACTATCATGGTTAATTCCTGATGAATTCATCATGATGGGCTAACTGGCCTGTTTTCATTCTCATCTATCACCCATCACTGGTGCTCCGTCAGCGTGTCCCGTTAGCGCAGGCGGGGTTATCGTACCATTTTCACCCATCAAAAAAAGAAATATAGAAAAATAACATTATATACTATTCTCATCTTTTTGTATAATATACTCGTAGTATATCCTATATACGTGTTAGTATTTTTTTTTATACGACTTAGAATGACAAACAAGCTGACGGCCCACCTGCCACCACGGCTGATGGAAAGTGGTAACCGTCACCTATAGACATACAGAGTATACTGTTTCGCCCATGATACCCCCCATGCGTTACCATTCCTGAGGACTCAGGTGTTATTCCTCTGTACACAATAAATTCACGCCATATCCCACCCTTCAAACTGAAACACAGCCATGCAAACACAACTGCTTCACGGTAGAAACACGAATGGGACAGAGGTACCCAAGCAATCGACTTTTGTACAAAGTCTCCCTGTGGTAATAATTTGTTGTTTTTATATATTTATTTGTTTATATATGTAAATTTTATTATATATGTATATCAATAATTAGTAGTACCGCATTCGAGTATTCTGACTTTTTCCTATGGTTGACGGAGAGAATGCTTTTAGCATTAAGTCCACCATGTACACATATTTGTACTAATGAATAAATAAATGCTATAACAAATACATAATTCAAAATAATAACTGAACTATATAAAACTAAATTAAACCAAATTCTAATTAATTTAAATATGTCATCCGAAATTCTAAGTTCCTTGAATTCCCTTCAGAGAAGTAGGTATATAAATAAACAATACAAAATAAACTAATACTGTATCATATTTTAAGTGAATAGTAAATAATTTGCAACAAAGTAACTTGGTTAATTAATTAAACTAGTAAGTAATACGCAAAATAATTAATTGAATGCGGTTTATTTTGCGGTTACAGTGTAGGTAAGTACCTTTTTGATTGAAATTCAAAATAATAATATATATAGAATATATATATATATATATATATATATATATATATATATATATATATATATATATATATATATATATATATATATATATATATATATATATATATATAAGGCGCGGACGGCTCACCTGATAGAATGTTATTGGTATATACATCTGGTATTATTCTTCAGTACCCTGTAAATTCACGCCATATCCCACCCTTCAAACCGAAACACAACTGCTTCACGGTAGAAACACGAATCAGACAGAGGTACCCAAGCAGACGACTTTTGTACAAAATCTCCCTCCGGTTATTTATTATATTTTTATTATTTATTTATATTAAATTGGTTTTTTTGTCAAATAAGAATGTGAGAGGTAGCTGAAAGAGATCTCTTTTAGAGATAATCCCACCCTAGCCAATGTATATATATAATTATTAGTAAATATTAAATACCTATATATATATATATATATATATATATATATATATATATATATATATATATATATATATATATATATATGGACAGATTAAATACGCATATTCATTAACACGCTTATCCATAGTTCGTCGACATCCGACACTGTGTGACTCACTGTCTAACAAAGGCTTCGAAACACGTGCATTTTAGAAAAACAATGTGTTTTACTACGTTTTATGTAATAATGCGGTTAGGTTATCTATGGAACGGAAATTAAATACCTACTGTCATACGTAGTGATTTGTTTGTTTGATTGATAGCAAATATTGTGGGTTTGGTTAATGCTAATTGTTTCGGAATGATAAACAGACAGACAAACTCACCTTATAATATGATGTAATATGAAAAGCAGATTACTTATTAATAAGTAAGATAAATAAATAAATAAAAAATGGGTTTATAGAACTTGATAGTTTTATGGTATATATGACGGTATTTTTTTTAATAGGTGATAATGGTATGGTAACCCCGTCTGCGCTATCAGTATACTGGCGAGGCACCAGTGATAGATGACTGATGAGGATGACAGTATGTCAGTTAGCCCATCGTGACGAATTCAACTAGAATTAGCCACTATGATTTCCAGGGGGAACCACGTATAGGTCGACCTGACAGGGTATATTGCTAGTAATGGGGCTATTTAACCCTATTACTTACAATCTCTTTCCCCCTATATTACGGTATTTGTACACAATTTTATTCTTATAAAAGAGATTTTCAATGTATATGTCAAATAAAAACTTGAATATATTTCCAAGGAAAATATTTATTCAGTAAATAATTCACGCAAATAAATGTTATTATTATTATCTTAATAACAAAATTTATTGTACTAAACATAAAAACGCCTGCATCTTATAGCTCGCGTCAAATGCTTCACTCCCTCAACATATTGCTATTGTATTCCATCAGGCGTTTTCAATTGCGTATCCATATAACATTTTACCTATTTTTAGCTACTAAGCCTTAAGTATCAATGGAAATAATAATATTATATTAAAATAGGATAAAATTACAAAACTTTTGTATTTAATTGTGTTTAATCATATTATAATTTATATACAATTATTTTTTTTTATTTTCATAACACAAACGATTTTATAATCGGATTTTGTTCGTTTTCGGATCGAATTAATTTTTTTTTTCTTATAGTATGTCATCATCTAGTAAATAATAAAATTAGACGCGTCATCGTCATCGACGATTTATTGATTTCCCCCCAAATTCTGAATCCGCCCTAAAGTATAAAGTAAAAGTTAATGCTGTACAATAAAATAAAAAGTGCTGACGGAAGGGAAATTAAACATACCTATTATACCGAAAGACACAAGTTTACGTGCTAAATAAAATTGTACCAATTCTATATTTGTTAGTATTGAAGATCACGAAATGTGGAATAGGCTTATTTTTAAAAATAAATAAAAAAATTTTAATGGATGATAATGGTATGGTAAACCCGCCCGCGCTATCCGTATACACTGGCGGGGCACCAGTGAGGGGTAAAAGGTGAGGATGAAAGCAGGTCAGTTAGCCCATTGTGATGAATACATCTGGAATTCAGCACCATGGTTTCCAGGGGAACCCGCATGGAGGTCAACCATTCAAAAAAATATTGCGCAATTCAATCTATTACAAACGCTATTTTCAGAATTACCTACACCGATTGTTTATTTTTGTAGCGTCGATGTAAATAGGTCAGTTGTCAAACTTCCATAATTTATAATGAATTAGGTACCCACTTGAGTTGTGACTTCATATGTCTCGGCGAGATAATTTATTACTTCGAAGTTATTTTGTATCCCAACGGTTATTATTTATTTTATTGTTAAATATATACTTAGTCAAATTATGTAGAAAGTTTTTGTATGTTATACTACATTTTTGTAAATTGTAAACCGATTTCGATGATTCTTTTCAAAGTCGATAACGTTCACACACGTTTTAGTTTTAATTTTGTGGCGATAGATACCATTTTTCTTTGTGGCTTCCGAATCCACATTCTAAATTTAAATTTTGAATCAGATACGTCTACAAATTGTCAATCTGTGACTATTTTGAAATAATAATAATTAATTTTTTTTAAATAATAATAGCCTAATTACTCGTCATTATTAATTTTCAACCTATCAATAAAAAAACGAGAGAGATTTATAAACAGGCTCATAACTTTATTTATAACCGATTTGACAAAATATTTTTTTTTTATCTAAAAACTTTCAGATTAATTCCATAATAAAACCGTCTAAATCGGTTCAATAGTTTGATTTTTTATATTAAAATAACTGCATTTGCTATAATTGAAGTCGCTGTATTTTTTATTTTTTATTTTGTGCTGTATTTTTTATTTTGTGGAACAAAATTTAGCATATTACAAATTAAATTTATTTTTGTTACTAATGCTATTTCTATATTCTATTGACCTTTTTCATGACATCCGATTTCGCTCTTCACGTTGCGCGTAAAATAAAACCTTATTTTAGTATTTAGTGTTAAATTAATAGCCCCACAACATTGGGGTCCGACATCTATTGGCCAATGAATTAAAAAAT